CTGCTGCCAGAAAGGAGATTAACCAAATCTCCTGATATCTATCTGTCATATGGCTCCACTCCATGGTATATACCCTATGGGGATACAGCATCTGTTTTATTCTTACATGTCATTCTGAACTTTTAAAAATTGGCTTCCAAGCTATTTGGACAAATGAGGCTCCAGTGGATGTTCTACTAATGATGAAGATTGTTATGAAAAATGAAGCATTACACAATGGTGCTCAGCACTGTTCTTCGTATTGTTATGCAGTTGCTAATTTAAGGCTGGTTGGGGATCAACAGGCACAGAGCACATTTTTTCTCACAATGGTTCATCCTGGAAAAGAGCCTCCTGCATTTCTAGCTACAATTCAGAAACGATTTACTTTGTGGAGACTTCAAGCACCAGGTGGCTGCTTACACAAGCTTACAGACTCCATTTCAGTAAAGAGTTAAGTACAGCCAATGACTTTAAGTGTGCTTAACATCCTGTCAGATTATGGCAATGGATCAACATGAAAAGAGCCTTTGCTAGCAAGTATGTAACATGCAGCATTTTGACAACCAAGGTGTACCACTCCTTACTTCCTCTGCTTTAAAGAGTGTATAAAATGTACCCATGCCCCCATCGATAGAGATACAATCATCTCTCCACATTCACTGTTGTTAGGGGCACATGATATCCCTGAAAATGAAAAACTGAAAATAAAAAAATAGCTAGGGATTTTTAACCAGAAAGAACACCTCTTTAGGAATTTCTAGGTCTTCTAGCATAGCAGCACATTGGAGATTGCTGGAAAGATGTTCTCTCTAGGATGCCAGGAGGAAATTGACCACAGGAGCCACACTGGAGGACCTTGAGATTCCTAGAAAGAGCATTTCAAATCAAATATGCGAATAATCAAACCCACAAGAGTCAAAACTGCAAATGTGGAGGGACCACTATAGAAGTGCTACTAGTCCAGTTCTCCAAAGTTCATATTTCTGTATCCCAACAATGTTGAAATTACCCATGATTTTTTTGTAGAGATGCTGGCTGAAACATTATTTTTCCTCTTCAGTTATTTTTGGCAACAGATAAGCAGCATACATTTACATATTACATTTTATTTTTAAATGAAATAAGTGTTTTTATTTACTAGCAATGCTATTTCTAATATACATGACAGCCAAAAAGGAATGAGGTGCCTTAGAGTAATATGTGCTTAGGACAGCATGCCATCATGAGATTGCAAAATGAAAATAAATGAAACAAGCATGCATTAATCCCAGGGCAGTGAACTGGGAAATTCTTCTTTCCTGAGCAACTATAGTATTTGTGTAGGAAATAGTACAGTTTTATTGTATCTGAGCCAGGAATCTTTGGAATAAGGAATTCCTCCATGTTTATCAGAAACTGTATGTGCTCTGAATGCAAAATATTTGAAAGATACCTTTAATTCCAAATTTGACAGCTTGAAGACATTTGGTAGGTGGGTGGGGAGGTGGAGTGGAATCTTTGAGCAGATTGCTCAATCCCATCACCTCAGAACTCAACATCAAAACACATCCTGGCTCTTCCTCAACCGTGATTTGCTGACAGGCATCACAATCTAGCAGTGTTAAAGGCTCCATGACAGAGCTCGGTGATATATGTCTTGGATTTTGATTTACTGGGTTATTCTGCCAGAATGTCTGTTTTGAATGGCAAGTCCTAGCAGCAGCCAGAATATGCAATTTGGCAGTTTTCAGCTCAGAGCTTCTTGATAGTTGGGAGCACAGTGGAGCAGAGAAGGCTATGGTAACTTCCCTCTCACATAATTTCCAAAAAAGTAGGGTTCAACTTTTATGAGTTGTACTGTTTTGTTGAGTGCCTTCAATTGTTGCCAACCCTAAGGTGAACCAATCATCAGGTCTTCTGGTGCTAAGAGTGTGTGACTTGGCCAAGATCATCCAATGGATTTCCATAGGTGAGTGGGAAAACAAACACTGGTTTCTAGGGTAGCCCAGGGCTCAAACTACTGCATCCCAATATATGCTTAAGACTGACCCACAAGCTGCAGGCAATGAACATCTCAGCTCCCACTCTATGGATGTCTGGTGTTGCTCTGTTTCATCTTTCTACTTAAGACATTTTAAAACAGCACTTATAAGATTTCCTGAAGGAACTAGTTGCCTTATGCTATTTCAGCAAGATTAAGGTTTTGGTGTTAATATATAAAGCCCTCAAACAATTTGGGACTATGGTATATGAACAAGAAGATTCATAGATTCATCTTGAATCCACTGCTGCCTGCATCTACGATGTTTGCTAATTTCTGGTATGCATCATAGTTTTTAAAGTGTTAAATCAGTTTGCCCCATTTGGGGCAAAGTTGTGAATACTCCAGAGTTTGCTCAAACTTCAGGAGTATCCTTCAGTTTCAGAGGAGAGTGGACAGTGGGACTGGATCAATTCAGATGTTCCACTGTCCAAACAGGACATTGGTGCCATTATCTTTGCCTGTACATATTAGGGAGGAGGAAAAAGTCAGGGGAGGGGGAGAAAAAGAACAGTTAGTTTTGAGTGCTGAATAGTTAGTGATACTTTATTCCAACTTCCTTTAGGTTTTTGTTTTTTTGTCAGAAGCGACTTGAGAAACTGCAACTCGCTTCTGGTGTGAGAGGATTGGCTGTCTGCAAGGACATTGCCCAGGGAACGCCCAGAAGTTTTTGATGTTTTACCATCCTTGTGGGAGGCTTCTTTCATGTCCCCGAAGGGGGAGCTGGAGCTGACAGAGGGAGCTCAACTTGCTCTCCCTGGATTTGAACCGCTGACCTGTCAGTCAGCGGTCCTGTTGGCACAAGGGTTTTAACCCATTGTGCCACTGGGGACTCCACTTCCTTTAGTCCTAGGTAGGCATGGTTCAGCATCCACTAACATAACTGAGACAGAAGGCTAGCTTGTATAGCATATACAACTCTGTTCTTTATAAAAGGGGAAGAGATAGAGGAGTACCAACTGGGAGGCTGCCATTTCTGCCTCCTAATATTAGGAGCTCAAGGTAGTAATTTCACCATACCTAATGGCAGGGCTGACTGTAGTGAACATTGGCTTTGTTTGTTGTGTGTCTTCCAGTCACTGCTGACTTATGGCAACCCTAAGGTAAACCTATCACAGTTTATTGGCAATATTTGGGTTCAGGTGTGTTCAGATGTGACTTGTCATTGCCCTTCTCTGCGGCTAGGAGGATATGACATGCCCAATGTTTCACAGTTGGTTTCCATGGTTGAGTGGGGACTCAAACATCTCCCAGAGTCCTAGTCCAGCATTCAAATCACTATCCCATATTGGATCTTTGTGAAGAACATACACATTCAAAACCTTGGGTGCCACCAAAGATGCAGACCTTACAATTATGAAAGCATTTACTAGAAAGTGACAAAAAGAGTTAGGATGGGTAGAAGACTGTATGGCCTCACTTCAAAGAATGCCTTTGACTGCCCGTTCCTCTCAAAATTCCTTTATAGTAATTAGTTCATTCCTCATGTATTGACTGAATATGAATATAACAACTAGGAGAATTCCCACTGTGCATCATTTAATCAGATAAACTGCCTACATCTAACATAACAAGAAAAAACATCACCAGCCATTAAGTTTCCATAAGCAATCAATATTTCAACAACAGTTACTAAATCTTCATTTTAAAATTACAGCTCTTGTCAGTAGAGAAATGTATATTCGGAGTGCTTAAGTTAATATTGAGGACTGCTGTGGTTAAGGATCAAAAGGCTGGGATGCTATTTTTGAGTTTCTTAATGGGGGTTTTGACATTAGAAAGAATTTATTTTGAGGGGGATTAGGTGACCATGAGACCTCATTTTGTTATAACAGCCATAAAACAGGAGCAATTGAAGTTTATCTACTGAGGCTCTGCAAGTGTTGAGGTCAGAAACTGGGCCATAATTAAGAGGTCTTAGAACCATCCTGTGTTTTTGAGTCAGCAGAACAAGCCAGTGCCAGATGAGGTTTCAAAAATGAATTTCCATAAGCATTCGCGCTTTGTTAGGGACACAAAAAAAATGAAATATCAAGTATTGAAAATTCTAAGCTGAACTTAAACAACTATTTTGTATTGTTGAAATACTCAATAAGGGATGGTTGGTAAAGACAGATAATTGCAAGGAACCTCAGGGTCATCTATTCTATAATGAGTGCAAATCAAACTTCAGATCCAAGTTTTGGTGTAATGTGTGTCTCCTATTTCCCATTAACATGAAACAAGATTAAGCTAAACACTTTTAGCAGAACTCAGTGTCCTTTATCTAGAGAAAAGGCATATGTGGCAATGACATTTGGAGGCTTCCAGGTGACAGAACTCCAGACTTTCATCTTCTGATGCAGGCTTAGTGGTACCCTATGTATGCTTTACAATTTAGTCCACAGCAAAAACATCACAGTTGAGTTCCTGCATTGAGAGGTGTATTTGCAATAGCATAGTTTTATCTCCATAGCTACATCTCCCTATAGCTAAATTTTAAGGGGTGTAATTCCCAACAGAGCAATTCTCAAGCAAGTGGGGAAATGAGCAGTGGCATATCCAGTCTTCTCCCAGTAGTAGGATGCACTGTGTTAAAGAATGGTGACAAGATCCTATAGAATCCCCAATACTGCTTGGCTCAGCTTGCCCCATTACTAGGAGAGGGCTATATAGATCACTGCTCACAATGCTGTTTCCAGGCATCCAGAATTGTTGTTTTTTTGGGGGGAGCGGGCTGTATGGTGTAAAATGTTGGCTTTTGCAGACACATCTGGTCATTGTTAGGGCGGACTGACCATAAAGGTGAATTATTGTAATTAGGATGTCATAAGTCAGGCAGATGATATTGTAATTTCTCAACAGGATGCCAAGGTTCATTTCATCATTCTAAATTCAGAGGCACCAAAAGAGCATTACACATCATTGCCTCTCAAGAAAGGGCTGAATTGGATGGCCCTTGTAGCCTTTTTCAGCTCTATAAATTCTATGAATCCAACATAAGGCAGCACGGGCTTACCTCCACATAAAGAATAGGGAATATTCCAATTTTATCTCCCAGCATTCCTTCTGCCCAATTATCATCTACTCTCCTGATGACAGTCAAAATTTCATCCTAAAAAGAAGTGAACAAATGAAGAAATTATAACACACTACATGCAAAAAGTAAAAACAAGCATATCTTACTGTTTCCTGTTTTTATGAGGAGTGAAAACTATTGATTTCTTGGAAAGGCAATCTGCAACCACCCACACAGCAAAACAAAAGAAATCACTCTCAGTAGCACTCTGATATTTTTGCCAGATGAAAAGACAGTAGCAATACTTTCCAACCTACTTTCCAATTTCTAAAGCAATGGGAAGACTACAGATGTATTACATAACTCTGTTCAGCCACAACAAAATGGGAATCTGAATTCTTATTGGCTGATCCAGGAGAGTTGGACTATAGCTCCCATCATCCTTAGCCAGCATGGTCACTGAATTAGCTTGGCTGTGGACATTGTTGTGCTCCAACATAGTTGTGTGTTGCCACATTGAGGAAAGCTACTGCATGCTGTCTTGATGAGTCTGTAGAGTCTCCTCTACAGAATGTAATATATATCAAATGCTTTCTCCATAATGAAGGAATGGATCAACCTAGGGTTAATGTATTCTCTTGATTGTGGATTGCTAAAAGAATTTTAGACCATGAGAGGCTACTTTATTAAAGGTGAATTGAAAGGCAGCTCATCATTCAATTCTTGGACCTCAAGGGGGCATTTGACTCTGTGAACAGAGAAAAGCTTTGGGAAAAACTAGCAGCCCTTAATGCTGACCCAAGATTTCTCTTTTTGATTAAGAAACTGCACAACCAAAATCTATGCCAGGTAAAAGACCACAGGGGATTCCTGTCGAACCCGATCGTGGTCCAAAAGGGAGTCAAACGAGGGTGCGTACTAGCCCCACTCCTCTTCAGTATCTTCTTGCATGATCTCCCTATAACCTTTGCCCAAATGGACGGACATAACCCCAAGACTGGCCCAAAGCATGTTCCCCTCTTGCTATTTGTGGATGATGCAGCCCTACTATCCCCCTCCCATGTGGGTTTAAAAAGACTCCTGCACAAATTTGTTGATTTCTGTGAGATGAATAAACTGCAGGTGAATTATGATAAAACCAAGATCATGCTTTTTGGGAAAAGCAATAAAAACCTCTGAGGATGCTTGCCATAGATGCAGGCGAAACGTTAGGAGAGAATGCCTCCAGAACATGGCCATATAGCCCGAAAAAACTTACAACAACCCAGTGATTCCGGCCATGAAAGCTTTTGACAATACAATAAAAAAGAAGTCTGAAAGATAAAGGGCCACTATATTGAGCAAGTAAAATATTTCAAATACCTAAGACTTTGGTTCAGTAACAACCTGTCATGGTCCACTCACTTAAAATATACACTGGCCTGGGTCCAATCAAGTGGCAGTGCTACCAGGAAGTTTTTCCACTCCAGGGGCAACCAATATATCCCCACAGCTCTGCAAGTCTTTCAAGCAAAGGTGATGTCACAACTACTCTATGGAGCACCCATTTGGTTAACCCCTGATAACAGTTCCATCAGATCTTTCCACTTGAAATTCCTCCACAAATTATTTGGTGTCCCAAACTGTGTACCGTATGCAGTTCTATGTCTAGAATCTGGCCAATACTCCATAGAGGCCACTATCTGGCTAAACATCATTACATTTTGGTAAACTCTCTGACCCAACTCACCTTGAGCGAATTTCACCACTCAAAATGGTGCTGAACAGCTCTAGCAAAGATTGGGGGATTGGGCTATGATCGTGACTTCCTGAACTTGCTAACTTTCACCGAGATCTTTACCCTTATTAAAAAGAGGCTGCCAGAAAGGGACCATAACCAATTGTTGAGCTTGGCCAATAAATCCTGTTCACCTATGAACATGGCAATTCCATTCATACAGGAAAACCCACCCTTTTATATTGCAGCACTCACTAACCCCTCTTACAGGAGAGCCTGCATGCTGGCTAGATTTAATATTATGCCATCTCCACTCCATACAGGAAGACTCAATGGTCTACCAAGCAATAAGAGGCTTTGTCCCTGTAGCACAGGACAGCTGCATACTCTTCTGCACTGCTCACTTTACCAGGATCCAAGATCTAGCTTACTACCACACGTTATAGATTTCTTGAAAAACTACAGTGACTCAAAGTAATTATGCTTTTAAATTGTCAAGATTTTAACTGCTGCCTTTCAGTGGTAAGATTCCTGAATGAAGCCTGTAAACTGAATGTGTAGCAAATGTAAAGTTCCCTTTTCTATGGTTTGTACTGTATTTTATACCTCTTTGCGATGTATATGCCAATAAAGGCTTATTGGATTGGATTATTTGCCATACTTGTACTCCACCCTTCTCTATCCCAACAGGGGACTCAAGGTGGCTAATAATGGCACAACATCGTGCCTCAACACAATCACCTAAACATTTCAAAAATTGCAACATATTAAACAGAGTTAAAACAGATTTAAATAGTTAAAACTTAAAAAACATGCCATCCAAGTTCACAGTCTAAGTCTGTTCACAGTCTAAGTCTGAATCAAAGCACAAGGCTTCGATTCAAAAACACTGTATTGCCTTAATTTCCAAAAGCCTGGTCACAAAGGCAGGTTTTGACTCTTTTCCTAAAAGGTAATAGGGAGCTGCTCTGATGTCGCCAAGAAGGGAGTTCCACAACTGAGGGACCACCGCTGAGAAGGCCCTGTCTCTTGTCCCCCCAGCCGCGTTTGTGAGGCCGGTGGAACCAAGAGCAGGGCCTCCGCAGAAGATCCGGGGAATACAGAGGATTTCTAAAATCTCAAATGGGGAAAATATAGAGTGATTGCATTCCACAGAAAAGATACATTTTTATCTCATTCCCCCCCCCCCTTGCCACAGAAGAAGGGGGAAATGTATAGGTCAGGTTGTTTAATTGTTGTATGTCTAAAATACATTAATCCAAAATGTTGAGGAAAATACTCATTGCACAGCACAGAAGAAGTAGGCACCAAACTATCATCACAACTGGCTAATTAGAAATGGTGTTGGCCAGTTGTTTTACCATCTGTTGGAAAGAGGTGAGCCTCATTTTGATGCTTAGGGTACACATAGGAATCCTCACCAGGAGATGCCAAGATCACTTGTTGGCTCATGCTTTGTGTCTTAGCCCATCAAACTTATTTCTCCTATTCCTTAATTACTAGGACAAGAGAATAACTTCAATTTATGGACCTACCTTTCCTGAGTATTATTGCCTCAGCTGCCTGGTTGTGATAAATGTACTCATAAAACATGCAACAAAAAACTAAATAGCAGGAAGATTTTTTCATTATTTTTAAAATGCTCTAAGTCCAATGAATAAGCTTTACCTGCCCACATTTCCACTCTTATTGCAGCTGGGGGATTTGCATATATATGCAGAAGGAGAAGTCAGTGGGATGACATTCAGTAGCACACAGAAAGGGAAATTTGTAGGAGAAAAGCACAGCTGTTGCTAATGTTGTGATGTGCCTTTGAGCATCAGATTGGGAAATTCTATGGATCACTCCATGGCCTTTTCTGACTGAGAGCAGATCTGGCTGTCACATTATATGTGAGACAACAGATGTGAGCACACTTGTCACTCTGCTTCCACACTAATAACATAATACGCAAACGACTAACATAAATTTCTCAGAGTATATCTCACAGTGACATGAATTAAAATTATGCATATGGCAATCGATATTCTCTACTACAGAATGCTCTTGTGGACATGGAAAGTTTTCTTTTCTCTTTTTAAAATCAGTCTCATTGCTAGCTGATTTTACACCAACCCTCCCACCCTGACTGTGTTTATTTGGAAGTCATCTCACTGAGATCAGTGTAAAGTCTCACTGATCTCAAGGTAGATATGTAGATAGGACTTTAGCCTTATTTTTCACATAGAAGAATGTTTGTATTTTGCAGAATTTAACTCCTTAGGACTTGAATCTATACAGGGCACAAAAAGAACAACAGTTATTTTCTAGTTATCCGTTCCTGCCTCCCTCTGAGACTAAAATAGGAATTGCCCACATAATTCCAAGTATTTGGAAGCTTTAAGGTAGGCATCCTCAAACTGCAGCCCTCCTGCTATTTGGGCCTCGAACTCCCAAAAGCCCTAGCCAACTTGTACAATGCTCAGGACTTTTGGGAGTTGGAGGCCAAAACAGCCAGGGAGCAGTTTGAGGATGCTTGCTTTATGGGCTTAGAGGCAGAAACACTTCTTTAAAAACAGTTCCAGAAGCAAAAACATTTTTTAAAAAAATCAAAAGGAAAGGAAAATAGGAAAATGGGGAGTTTGATCCAATGCTACATTCTTTATTTGTTGGGGAACGATGGCATACACTCAACCTTGGCCATGATCTACTCTACAGACTCCTGGAGAATATGTAGAGAATATGCTTCCTGGGCAAACTTCGGCCCTCCAGGTGTTTTGGACTTCAACTCCCAGAAATCCCAGCCAGATTACCAGCTGTTTGGAATTGTGGGAGTTGAAGTCCAAAACACCCGGAGGGCCGAAGTTTGCCTCTGCCTGCTCTAAACTGTACAACCAGCTGCTCCCAGCTACAGATTCAGCAACCACAGATTCCACCATACACGACCTGAAAATGATTTTTTTAATCTAAAAAACAAACCTTGAATTTACAACTTTACATAAAATATACCATTGTATATAGTGGAACTTGAGCATCCATCCACATATTCTGGTATCCATAGGGATCCTGGGACCAAACCCCAGCTGATATCAAATGCTCACTGTACTCCAGAAAGTTTACTTTCCCATACTCTGAAGCTGATGAGTGAATTCTCTCTATTCTTATTTTCTCTCTTGTTTCTTATTTTCTCACTAACATTAAAAGAGATTTACTCAGATCTCTAGGTTAAATCCAATATCCTGCTAATACCCAATTGGAGGAATGGCAGAATTTTGTTCCCCTACTGACCTCTCATCAAGATTTTCAGCCTGCTGAGCAGCTTTTGAAAGCAAATGGCTATGGAGAGAGGGAATATTGCCCTCATCCAATTCTGGTGACTGATAAACTCCACCTGCAAAAA